CTTTAAGGAATAGTTTAACTAACTTTGAAATTTGTCTCCGGAGCACATTCTGTGCTTTCCTTTTATAGAATGGATCATCTGTGATGACACTGTTTTTCTGGCACTGGTTTGTGTTTCACAAAACTCCCCCGACAGTTCTTGCAGCCAAATAGATACATCAAAAGTTTGTGCAAATCATACTTCAGAGAACTACTAGAAGCAGTAAGTTTAACTAGCAAATATGTGATGCTAGGTGAGCATTTTAACTGCAAAGTGAGTCATTCTATCCATATCACATTTCACTGCACCTGGCTATTGTTTGTGTCCCTCATGGCACAAGATATGGTGACAAGGATTTATTTCCCACATTTCACATGCCATCTTCCTTCTCTTGGAAGCACGTAAGTAGGACACACTACTGCATCTTAAACCTGAACGCCTTAACAAAAGCACAGACCAGACTCCAAAAGGAAAAAAATACCCAAACTTGTCCCCATCAAAATTAAGAAGAAAAAACCTACATTGTTTCCAAAAAGCCTGGGCTTGCATTCCAAAGAGTTTTAAGGTGCAATCATGAGCAGCACCTTCATACTCTAAAGAGATTAATAACCTCAGGGAGCTCAGTGAATGTGCCTGCTGCCACAGAGTGTGGCTGGACACTGGCCAGGCTGCCCAGGGAAGCGTTTATGACCCGAGTCTGCCCGAGTGCAGCAAGTGTTTGGACAGCGCTCTCAGGCACAGCCTGTGGCTGTCCTGTGCCACGCCAGCAACTGATCCCTGACCCTTCCAACTCAGGATATTCTGTCATTCTAAACTTACTTTCACATCTGGTTAGACTGAACCCAGGACACTCCCCACATTGCAAGATCAAGGCACAGTCCAACCTGACAACTGCTCACCTTGTAAAAAGGCAGCCTGGGGCACCCCAGCAAACAAACCAGTGCTAACCATAAAGAACAGATGATTTCCATGGAGACACAGCAGCAGCAGGTATCAGCACAGCACAGGGATGTGTCCCCAACCACCACACCTTGATAACCCTCAACAGTAGTGAGGATGTACCAAAACCTATTGCAACTAAAAATAAATATGATACGTGCTTTATATATATAAATAAACATACATGTCTTTGTCATGGGTTTTTTTGGTTTTTCTTTTAAAAACAAAATTGGAAGAATAGTGAGGAAAAATATTAAGAGATAGTGTACTGTACAGTCTGATTTAATGAAGACACAAATATAATCGCACACTTTTTTTTTTTTTTTTTT